GTGCAAAAGAGATCCTCTTTCACTGCATCCTCACCAACATCTGTGGCCTGAGTTGTTAATATTAGCCATTCTTTTTTTTAAATTTTTTTTTTAACGTTTATTTATTTTTGAGACAGAGAGAGACAGAGCATGAACAGGGGAGGGTCAGAGAGAGGGAGACACAGAATCTGAAACAGGCTCCAGGCTCTGAGCGGTCAGCACAGAGCTCGACGCGGGGCTCAAACTCACGGACTACGAGATCATGACCTGAGCCGAAGTCGGATGCTCAACCGACCGAGCCACCCAGGCGCCCCAATATTAGCCATTCTGACAGGTGTAAGGTGGTATCTCATGGTGGTTTTGATTTGTATTTCCCTGATGATGAGTGATGTTGAGTGATGTTGAGAATTTTTTCATTTTTCACGTGTCCTTGGAGAAGTGTCTATTCATGTCTTTTGCCTATTTCTTCAGTGGATTATTTGTTTTTTGGGTGTTGAGTCTGGTAAGTTCTTTATAGGTTTTGGATACTAACCCTTTATCTGATACGTCATTTGCAAATATCTTCTCCCATTCTGTTAAATTTTTTTTAAACATTTATTTATTTTTGAGAGACAGAGAAAAAACAGAGTGTGAGCCAGGGAGGGGCAGAGAGAGAGGAAGACACAGAATCCAAAGCAGGCTCCAGGCTCTCAGCTGTCAGCACAGAAGCTGATGCAGGGTTCAAACTCATGAACTGCGAGATCATGACCTGAGCTGAAGTTAGACGCTCAACCAACTGAGCCACCCAGGCGCCCTGCTTACTTTCTGACTATATGCTCCCAAGGCTTGAGGGGTTTATCCGGTTCTGAGAGGATCTGGTGTAGAATACAGAGATTCTACTCAGGTTCACCAGTATTTTAAGGTTTTCAATCTTTATGTCGTAAGAGGTAGAGGGTTTTTATCACTCACCAGTGACAATATGGGCTGGTTCTATGATTTTAAAAAAAACACAAGAATGGCCAAGGAAGTTTTTGTTATTAAAAATGGGAACCATTTTGGTGAAGTGTGCTGAATCAGAAGCCACAAATTTGGTATTTTCTCTACAACAAAGAAAAATTGGATTACTATAGATTGAAGAGGGAAAATCTTTCATCTATGCTGGTGACTAAATAACTCGTTTTCTGAACTCCTTTTCAATTCTAAGCTTATATGATCAGGGATTCTATATTCTAGAGTGACATGACATAGTCAGATTATGGCTACTAAATAATTAATAGTTGTCAGAAGTAGTAAAATATATAAAAGAATATTCTTTTCATTAGACTCAGGAAGTTAAAAAAAAGTTTGGCTTTGGATGCTATTAAAATAAAACGAATGAAACAGTTTTACATACCTACAACATTCTTCAAACCAACGTGCAACGTAATCCCACATATAATAAGGCTCAAAGGAATTAAAGAGAAGGTTGGCAGTTTTAATCAGCTCTGCTGTTTTCTTATTTTCCCTTAATTTACTAAAAAGGAAAAAGAAACAAACCAAAACTAAGAATTGTTAACATTTATTTTTTCAAAATTATATTTGAGTGCAAATGTTACTTACATATTCCCAGGTAGTTGCTAGAATACTTACTAGCGAGAAAACTGCAACAAATCATTTTTATCTACTGCCACTCTATGACTTTATGTGTATTTTCCAAATTCAGGTTATCATAACTCAAATGTATGATCATGATCAGAAATCAGACTTCCATGAGAAAAAAATAGCTCTGCTTCAGCAAAAGAACACCAAGTTATTTTTGAATTTTGAATGCCTGTTAACCTGGCGTTACATTCTTTTGTTTCCCCGGCACATGTAAGCCAAGTAGTGATTTATTTTGACAGCCTTGATTTTGAAAGAATTTTGTCTGCTTTCCTGTGCTATTCAGAATTTGCTTAAGAAAGGTTAAGTTTATTTTGGTGAGTTTCAATCAAATTATTGTTCTTAGCTGAAAAACAACAAAATAATACTGTAAATTGCCATTATTACTGAAACTCCATCAGGAATAATACCTTATTTCTAGTGGGAGCCCTCTGGCCTATTAACAACCCATCTACCTACTATCTCCTGCCACCCCTCCTAATAATGAAAACAGTTGTTTTTATATATATTGTGGTACTATCAATACAGCTAGCATGTCATAGCACAAATGACTAACTGCATATTCGATGGGGCAATATAAATTATCAGGCAGAGTACAGAATGAAATCAAGTATCAGGATAGTCAATATTAACTTCTCAAATAAAGATTCCACGGATACTTAATAGAAATCAAAAACTGTGTTAAAATGTTAAAATTTTAACTGCATTAAAATATACAAAACTGTGTTCTGTGTTTTAGGAAAGCCCACGTTATATCCAAAGCTTCACCAAGGAGAGACAAATGGAACGCAGATTACGTAAAAGAAACTGTAGTCTTGTGACTTTGTCATGTTAGATGAGACTGGAAAACACGTAAGCTGCTAAAAGTAGACAAGAAATGAAAATAAGACCTTGTTGACATGAATGAATCTACCACTGACTTAGAGAAGAGGATATACTAATATTACAGGACTTGTCCCAGGCATTAAAAAAAAAAAAAAAAAAAGATATATATAAAACTGAAAGAAGAAATAATGATAACTTGAAAAGAAATTGTTTAAGGAGCACTTGGTGCCCTTTGATTCGTTTAACTCTACATTTAAGTCTTTTTCTGAATTATGATTTGGTCTCCTGAGAGTGTCGAGTAACCAAGAGGCACAACCCCATGCAAACCACCAGGCCTAGTTCGCAAGAAGGTACAACTTCCATTATTAACTGACATGTGGCAATTAATCTCTCGTGAGTTTGAACAGTGTGAATAAATTCCCTGAAATCTGTATCTTCACGTTAACTGGTTAGAACCAACCCTGGTGCTGGTTCTACTATATAGTCAGGCTGTAAATGCCTAAAAAATCAGTGCAGTTAGTAATGAGAGTTCATATTACCAAAATATGGTAATATTTTAAATCAAATTTATCATTCAGAACACAAATTTCATATGATGAATGAGGACATCTTCATATCATGCTTAATTTTTTGGTAATCCACCTGCTTAACTGAGCATGATCCTTGCTGAAGGGTGGTTCCATTTGAAGATCCAATTCTGCTTTGCATTGGGAATATAATGTTCTAAATACTTCAATTAGGACATCTTCCAGAATTACAGGTCCTAAAATTAATATACATATTAAAGACAATAATTAATGAGCACTGACAAATCATGATTATTTACAAATTAGCCTGATCAAACGATACTTTAAAACAAGTATTTGAAAAATATTTTTCTGAATGCTAAACTGAGCTTCACATTTTGATCCGAATAAATGGTTATTTAACTATAGGTTGACATAATAAAAATTACAGAACAAAGGAAGTGTGTTTGACAGTTAACAGCAATAACCTTGGGAAGTTATTTAATGTCTTTGAGTTTTAATGTCCTCATCTAGAATGAGGATAATAATACCAGAGTTACAGGGCTGTTACAGGGGTTAAGAAAAAATATTTACAAGGTGGGTAGCATAGTTCCCAGAATATAATGAGGATTCAAGAAATACTATCTATATTACTACTATTGTTTTTTTATTTTTTTATTATTATTATTATTTTTTTTAACATTTATTTATTTTTGACAGAGAGAGACAGAGCATGAACAGGGGAGGGGCAGAGAGAGAGGGAGACACAGAATCTGAAACAGGCTCCAGGCTCTGAGCTGTCAGCACAGAGCCCGACGCGGGGCTCGAACTCACGGACTGTGAGATCATGACCTGAGCCGAAGTCGGACGCTTAACCGACCGAGCCACCCAGGCGCCCCTACTATTGTTTTTTTAAATGATACAAAAACCCACAAAGCCAAACTTTGCTACAATAGATACTCATCTCTTTAAAAAAATTTTGAAGAGCTTTATTTATTATTATACAATAGCTAAAACACATTCTCAAAGCCATTGATACAACTCAAGTTATTTTTATATTTAAAATTTTTCATTTTTATTTTAAGAGTTGGTGAGAAGACATATATATTTGCTACTTTTGGGTTTCTTTTTGTTTTGTTTTATTTTTTATATCTGAGAAGGAGAGATGGAGACAGAGACAGAGAGTGAGCAGAGGAGGGGCAGAAAGATGAAGACAGAATCTGAAGCAGGCTCCAGGCTCTGAGCTGTCAGCACAAAGCCTGACATAGGGCTCTAATTCACAAGCTGTGAGATCATGACCTGAGCTGAAGTTGGACACTTAACCAACTGAGCAACCCAGGCACCCTTACTTTTGTTTTTTCTTAATTTCTGTCTCAGGTGCCATAACTAACTTCCCAATAAATCTACTATAAAAGAAATACACAATGAAGAAAGGGAAAACACACAAAACAAAGGGGATGTAGGGAATCAAGCTGAGGGATAGAACCCAAATATTTTTGTTCAAGTCCTTGAGTTTTGTGAACTAGGACAGTCATGAGAGATCACAAATGTTTCAGTAACTTAATCAGGATTAGGAAGAGCTCAGACATTATCTTTAAAATGACTTATCTACTACATATATAGTATAGGGTAAAATATGAGAACATATGTGTTGGATGTATACATACGTATCTTCTTAATGTTCTGGAGTAAATTTTAGGTAAGAAATTGTTGAGAACCTGTATTTGAAGTCCACCTCAAAATATAGCAATTTTTCTACATAATGACTTTTATCTTATTTTTATTATGAGACAGTACAAAACAACCACATGTGATCTTATGTCCTACGACAGTATACATTACCTAGCTCAGGTTTGTCAAGTAAACTGATTAAAATACGAAAAGGTTTTAGATCCTGCATTAAAGTGCTCTCTTCTCCAAATCCATTCACTTGTAAGATGCCCACCATTGCCTTTAAAAAAGAAAAAGTACATTACTCATTTAATTAAAATGAACAGATTCAAAGACTTTTTTCTTAAGAAAAAAATTTAAATACGACCATATGTAATGGAGATTTACATCTATTGCTTTTCTGAAACTCTTTCACTGAAGTTAGCTTTTTTCCTCTGCTAAGGGGGAAAAAAAGGTTTTATTCATCCATCTTGAGAGAAAAAAAGAGTGCTTACATTTGCTCTAGAAAAAAAGTGGAAAAGTTAAAGAAAATCTAGAAAAATAAATTCATGGTTATTTGAATTTTTGCCTAAAAGAAAAAAGTGTTTCTATTTAACATCATCATCAATGCTCCAAACTATGGCACAGTATCATGACAGCATCTGCTATTATACAATTGTCTTCCCATTGGTAGTTCAAAACTATATTCTTATAACTTCACTCATTTAAAAATGCTTCAGATACCAACAAATCTCTTTGAGTTATCTTGAATATAAAGTAAAAATAATATAAAAGTATGGCTCATTTTAACTTTTCCATTACAATAGCAGTTTTACCACATTTAGATTCCTCATGCAACCCAAATTTTCCCAAGGCTTCAGAGGATACAACAGAGGTCCTAGCCCATTTTTGGAAGAGCTCCAATTCACAGGGCAGACAGGTAAGAAGCTGTAACTATGTATTAATAAAGTTATGAGAACAAATTAAGCAATCTCTGGACTGACACAGAAATGAGTCTATCTTAAGATTACTTACTCATTGTATTGTAATCATTTGCTTGTTATAATCATTCTTAGGAAGTTTGTGAGTCTTGTCTCCACCCTTCAGTGATGAATTAATTCAATTAAGGCAGGACCTTGTCTTACACTTGTTAACTCTAGTGATCAGGGAGTAACCAAAAAATAAAATGAAAGCATTCATTACCTGGACCAACAATTCTTTTGAAAAGGTAGTGAAATAGTAAGTAGCATGTTCTTCAGGATTACTGTGTCTTGTGCTTCTGGGTCCTATGATAGCACCGTTGTTATCAAAACCTCCATGTAAACAAATGGCAAAATAAATTATACTGGAATTCTCAAAACCGTTGTTCATTAAATACCAAAACACCAAATATCTCAAAAACAACACCAAACACTTACCAATTAGTAGCCCAATCAATGTCAGCAAGAGAGATCATTTTAGATAGTTTAATAAAGAGAAACCAATTCAATACATAAGCGAGTATCATAGTATTCTTCCAGCATTATCCAATATTTTCCTTTTCAATCTAACAAACAGTGAAATAACTGAAGATTCAGAAAATCCAAGATAAGTTATATTTTATCTTTTCACTCTAAGAAGTAAGGAGTAAGTAAGTATCTTTTCACTCTAAGTAAGTAAGGAGTTGTGGATGGGCCAAACACTCAAAATATGGAAAAACAAAGAACTTACTGCTTGAGTGTGAGACTGGTAAGGTACCATGTGTGGGTCAGCAGTAATAGTTCTGATTCCTTTGATGACTTCAAAGTTTTGGAAATTATGTTATTATTTTGATTATTTATTTATCCTTCTTTGTCTACATACTCACAGTATAACAGCCTCAATTTATAGGAGGAAAAAAATCTTGTCAAAGGAAACAGGAATGGGTTAAAATAGCCTCTAATGTTAAGAAGATTTTGAAATTTCTTCATATAATACACAATTAATCCTACTTACATTTTTATTGTCTATTTAAGCAAACTATTAATTTCTTCATTTATGACACACATGAAACTTGATAATACTTATGTATGGCAAATTTCCCCGTATCTTTCCCAAGCTAAGACCATACACATCAAACACCTACCAAGAAGCCATGCATAAAGTCTTCGGTTCAGGGACATATCCCTCCTCAGTACTACATGAAGAGCTGCTGACAAGATCCTGATCATATCTGGTCGAGTGGCCTGAAAAAGTTAAAGATGTAGTTGTATTTCATCACATACAAAAACACATTCTTTTTTTCCTCTTTAAAAAACATACCACCTTGCAATACGCTCAGAACTTTAGGGCTTATGAGGTAGTTTCATAGAAGACTCATCTGACTCTTCAAACACAGGAATGATTATTGCCATTTTACAGATTAGGGAACAATAAGAAAAGGTAACGCAGCTGTTTAGTTGCATACGTGAAACTATACCTCAATTATTTTAATCTCCATTTTAAAATTCGTTATCCTATCCAGAATTAGCAAGCTCTGACACAAAACAAAAAATGGAGTAAGATGGAACCGACTCAAGAAAATCATGTCTTTAGTCTTTTACATTCACAGCTGTGTCAACTGGTGGTAATTACTTTAGATGTTCATGATCTTCATCAATTTCAAGCCTTTCATTTCCTGATCTCTTAAAAATTTTTATCTTGTAGTATTTCAAACATACAGAAAAATATAAAAAACAATATAATGAATGCTTTTTGTGCCCATATCCAGCTTTAACAAATCTTTTTTTTCATGTTACTCAAGATCTTCTAAAGAGAAAATAATTTTTCTTTGCATCCTTCCTAATAGTCTTAATTACATATTTAAAAAATATACTAAAGAAGATCTGGTTTTCACTAAAAGAGGTGAAGTTAAAAGATAACAGGAAGGCAGCTAGTTAAATTGCTATTAATTTTAAGACTATTTCTAGATAATCACTTTAAAAGAGAATCTTGGACCCTGAGCATTAGAAGGTAACGTGGAAATCAATTAGTCTAACAATCACTCTAGAATAAAAAGGGCCTAAGTACTTAGCCAAATTCAAATGTCTGGTTATTGCCTCACCTAGATAGAGAATGGACTTTACAAAAAAATTAACTTTATTTTTGAGAACTGACTTCTTTATCATAGACTTGTCAACTTTTTACTACGCCATGCTTCTTGACAGTATTAAGCAGCTTACATGTTTTAAAGGAATCTTCGAGAAATAACTGAGATGTTACAGAACACAGATCATCAATAGCCAAAAAATTATGGTCACTCATCTGAACACAGAGGTCTTTATTAATCTAAGCAATTTGCAAAGTGTGGTCCCTGAACTCCTGAGGATCTCTAAGACTCTTTCAGGGGGTCCACGAGGTAAAAACTATATTCATGACAATTCCAAAATGTTATCTGCCTTTTTTGATGTGTGGGCATTTGCTCTGATTATGCAATACTGAGTAAAACTGCCAGCATCTTAGCATGAAAAGAAGCAGTACAGCAGTGGCATCTACCGTACTTGTGGTCATGGTATTCTTTACTACCATATACTTCTAGTAAAATTAAAAACAAAAAAAAAGCCAGTTTCACTCAAGAACGTTGTTGATGAAGCAGAAGTTTGTTTTATTAAATATTAGTCCCTGAACACAAGTCTTTTAACACACGTCCTGTGTAATGAAATGGGGAGTATACACAAAACACTTCTGACATATACTGAAGTATATATGATGGATGTCTAGGGGCACATGGGTGGCTCAGTTGGTTGAGTGTCTGACTTTGGTTCAGGTCATGATCTCGTGGTCCCTGAGTTTGAGCCCCTTGTCAGGCTCTGTGCTGACAGCTCGGTGCCTGGAGCCTGCTTCAGATTTTGTGTCTCCCTCTCTGTCCCTCCCCCACTCACGCTCTGTCTCTCTCTCAAAAAAAAAAAAAAAAATATGATGGATGTCTTGAGGAAAAACACTTGTGTGACTGTTTGCATTGTGAGCTGTACTATCGGCTTTTTTTTCATCAAATACCACTTTTGCCTGAAAGAGTGATTGATACAAACTATGATTACCAGGCTTGAACACGTGGCACATATTTTCTCAAAAATAAAGTGTCACTGCAACAAAACAATTCATATTCATCATTACAAATAATAAATTTAGAGCTTCTAAGAGAAAATCTGAATTTTTAAGATTTTTTGTTTTATTTTCTTAGAGAGAGAGGACAGGAGCAGGGGAGTAGCAGGAGAGAGAGAATCTTAAGTAGGCTCCACTCCCAGCACAGAACCCAAAATAGGGCTTGATTTCACGACCATGAAATCATGACCTGAGCTGAAATCAAGAGGTGGATGCTTAACTGACTCAGCCACCTAGGCACCCTAAAGATTTTATTTGTTAGTAGTCTCTACACCCAACTTGGTGCCCAAACTTCATTCCTGCCTCCCCCACCCCACCCTGCCCCGCCACTGAGGTCAAGACTCACATGCTCGACTGACTGATCCCACCAGGCACCCCGATTAAATCTGTTATTTGGCTTGAAACTGTATGTACTGAATTAAATTAAACTGGCTTGAAAGCTTCCCAATACCTAAAAAAATTTACTGATGAGATCAGTGGGGATAGTAAGAAATGTGATAGTTGTTACTGTGTTAACCTTCGAAAGATCTGCATAATTCGGCAACTAACATTTTCCAAATAACCAACCATGATGTTACAAAAGCATATTTGGGTAAAACATCCATTCAAGGGTAAGAAAGACCAGCAGGTTTTCATGAAACAGAACATGAAAAGTTTACTGATATGGTTTCAGATTCCATACCGCAACTAATTTTTTAAAAACTGCAGCTTATTGGGGCGCCTGGGTGGCGCAGTCGGTTAAGCGTCCGACTTCAGCCAGGTCACGATCTCGCGGTCCGTGAGTTCGAGCCCCGCGTCGGGCTCTGGGCTGATGGCTCAGAGCCTGGAGCCTGTTTCTGATTCTGTGTCTCCCTCTCTCTCTGCCCCTCCCCCGTTCATGCTCTGTCTCTCTCTGTCCCAAAAAAATAAACGTTAAAAAAAAAAAAAAAAAAAAAAAACCTGCAGCTTATTGAAAGGTGCTTGGGTGGCTCTGTTGATTAAGCATCTGAAACTTGATTTCAGCTCAGGTCATGATCTCTCATGGTTTCATGGGTTCAAGTCCCATGTTGGGCCCCACACTGACAGCACAGAGCCTCCTTGGGATTTTCTCTACCTCTCCCACTCATGTGTACGTGCTCTCTCTCTCAAAATATATAAACATTTTAAAAAACCACTACTTATTGAGTTATGGTGTAGTATCAAAGAAGAATATGCTGTTTTAACAACAACAACAACAAAAAGACTGCTGAAACACTCCTCTCTATTCCAATTACGTATCAGTGTGAGATCAGATATTTTTCATATACTTCAAATGAAAGAAAAAAAATCACAAATTGGATGCAAAAGCAGATATGAGCATTTTGTTCCCTACTAGAGCATACATTAAAGAAATCTGTGGAAAATTTCTACTCTATTCACTAATTATTTCAATGTGTTGGAAGAGCTACTTTCATAAAATGTTATCTATACTAACATGATAACTCTGTTACTGTTAGCTTTTAAGTAAATTAGTAAATATTTAAAAATCTGTCAGTTTTAATTTCTAGTATGATATAGATAAATCTAACCTCCATAAACAAAAGATTTTTTTTTAGGATCCTCAATATTTTTAGAGAGTAAAACAGGGTCCTAAAACCAAAGCATTTGAGAACTGCTGATCTAACATCAGATATGAAGATTACAGATACTGCTACAAAATCTTGAAAAGTACTAATGTCTCCCAATCTTATTTTGAGGAAAAAAAACTATTCTTAAGAAAGAAGTCACTACTTTTTCTTCTTTTTTTTTTTTTTAATTTATTTATTTGAAAGAGAGAAAGCGTGCATATGTGCAGGGCTGGAGGCAGGGGGACAGAGAGAGAGAGAGAGAGAGAGAGACAGAATCCCAAGCGGGCTCTGCACTGACAGCACAGAGCTCCATATGGGGCTCGATCTCAGGAACTGTGAGATCATGACTGGAGCTCAAACCAAGAGTTGGACACTCACTCAACCAACTGAGCCACCGAAGCGCCCTGGAAGTCACTTCTTGCTTACTGTTGACATCACCACTTATTTCTAATATTGAAAACAATTCTCACTTAAAGGTATAAATGTTAGAGATTAGGGTCAACTTTCCATGAAATAAGTAAAAAGAGTCTAATAACCTGTCAACTGCTGAAGCTCTTAACAGTAATCACTTATGGGACAAGGTAATAAAGGCTCTGTTAAGTTACAATTAAAATCAGTATTTGCTTAAAATTATATGCAAGATATGGAAAGAGGAAAATGGAGAACAAAGATGACAACTTCACCCATACTCTCAGATAATCTAAAAACGTGGTATGGTAATAGGTGGAAAATATTGGCTCTGGGTAGGGTACGTACTTAAACTTTAAACGTAGCTATTGTTTTTATAATACAAATTATAGAAGGGAAGGCTTGAGAAAATATTCTTGGCTAGGAGGGATACAGAGGTGGTAGAGTAAGAAAGTACTGAAGGAAACTCAGCTAAACAAAAGGTTGAGAAACACTGGTCTAATGAGATTACAAATTAAGTTCTTCCCAGTTTAAGTCTACCATGACTTAATCCCTCACATTTTATTGAGTCACCTAGCGTACACTGAAGGAGTAAAAAATGTTGAATGCCTGGAAGGGAAGAAAGACGGGGAAGGTTTAAGAGTAAAGGTCAATACATTTTTTTTTCAATAAAGATCCAGATAATAGACATTTTAAGCTTTTGAGCCATATACGTTATTTTCGCATATTCAAATCAAACTCATTATTACCTTGTGAGCTGTATGCCCACCCCTATACTGGTAAGTTCAGACTACACTGATGTCCCAGCAGGTGTTTCTGTGAAAAGTCAGAGACAGAATAAAGGCTTCTGGTTTAAGGACGGAACATTTAAAAAAATTGAAACTGAGTATAGTTTGTCTCCCAATTAGGGGCAATATAGGCAATGAAGTATAAAATTCTCCAATTATTAACAACTCAATTTCAAACTGAATAAAGTAATAAAGAAAAAGCTGAGTATGATAAATCATAATGAAAATCCACCAGTTTATCTACTAACCACAGCTCTGACAAAACTCCCAAACAATAGTCTTTTCTGCTAATGACTTTTTAGAAATAAAGTTTTCCAAGGTAGAAATTCTTCATATCTTATTACTTTTGTTGTACCATTCTGTATGTTCACATATTGGTGCTCATAACTTTTCAAAGTTTAGAGCTCCAAAGAATTTAGACCATTTCTTTAAAAATGAGAACATTGATTCAATTAAGTTCTACCAGTGAAACACTTCACTCATGATTTGTTAACTGCTCTCATTTGTAATAAAAGTACTAGAGAATGTCACAGTGACTGAATATTTGGCTTTCCAACAGCCAACACTGCTAACGTTCTAACATACATCACCAAATCGCCAAACCAAGAAAAGGTAACATCATGACAAAGATAACAGCTAGGTGAACCTAGGTCTCAGAGACCTGCCTCACTCAGAGTTAGCAATGATTATCTTTTGTTTTTCATAGGTTACAACTTTTTTAAAAGGTATGAAATTTTAAAATTTCAATTTCCATGTTCTTATCCAAATCAATAAACCCTTTTTTCCCCCAAATTCCCCAAAATTCCACTCCTTGAAAAAGGAATTTGCTTTTTATGTATTATACTTACAAATTTATAAAAGAATTCAACCTAAATTCTACTAAAAAAATAACTACATGAGGAATCTAGGATTTTCCAAAGAATTCCTTATGTTAATATCATTATTAATGTTGTTACCTGACTCATGTGGAAGGGAAAACAGAAGAGTATGAGGTCCAGTGTGCTTCTCTGTACAAGTACACTTGAGTCCTGCACGGAAGTACTTACTGCTTCTACCTGAAATAAAAGAGCCTTTAACATCTCTTGTCTGTTACATTGGGAAATATTTACTGTGCAAATAGAATGGTTCATTTTTTCCAATAACTAAAAGTTTGCTTCTCAGTTTCTTATCACTAATTAAATGTATTTATATTATTTTGAATAAATAGGTAAATATATTATGAGGGCTTAAAAAAAAATTAAGGCACACAAAAGAGTATACAGCAAAAAGTTCTCTCCCATATCTATCTCCCAACCGACTTCTTTTCTACAATGCAACCAGTATTATTGGTGTCTATTTTCTGAAATGTAAGTAAATAAAAACACACATGCATATATCCCAAACTTTGCTTTTCTCTTTTAACAATATATTTTGGAGATCTTTTCTTAACACTACATAAAGAGCTTCATTATTTTTTCATGGTCAAAGAGATACTCTATTTCATAGATGAATCCTAATTTTTTAATAGGCTCCTAATAATAGACACTAGTACTGTTGGTAAATATTTACTACTGTAAATAATGGTGCAATATATAATATACAGATGTACATTATAGGATAAATCCCTTAAAGTAGAATCTCTGGGTCTTGGGGATATGCATTTGCAACATGAATAGAATGCTTCCCATTAAGGTTATGTATATTTATATTCTCACCAGCTATGTGTGACAATTTCTGTTTTTTCATGTTTACTAATGCCTTTTTTTTTTTTTTTTAATTTTTGCCAATCTGATGTATGACAATTGGTATCCTGGTGTAAATTTTTATTTCTATTATAAGTAATAGAGCATCTTTTCATATGTTTATTTGTATTTCTATTAGGTAAATTATCTGTTCAAATACATTTTTCCACTTGATTGTTAACAGTTGCTTATTTATTTATAGTAGCTCCTTGAATAACAATGAAGTTAGTCCTTTGGCTGTGATATGTTACAAATAGTTTTTCAATTATGACATTTATTTTTTAAAGAAATAAAGTGACTTGTTTAAAATTTCCATTAACTCGTTAAAAGGAAATGTTAACAATACATTTAAAAATCTGCATCAAAATGGTATAGTCATTTTATAAAATTCATTCATAAAAGAATTCAACCTAAATTCTATTTAAAAAATAACTACATGAGGAATCTAGGAATTATATCTTAATAAAGCTGTTATTTAAAAAGGTTAACATACCTTTACAATATGAACCACTTAGGAATCCTATTCCTAAATACTTCCCCAGGAAATAAAAACATATTTCTACACAAACAACTGTACGCAACTGTTTATAGCAGCTTTATTCATTACTGCCCAAACCAGAAACAAATGTTAACTGGTGAATGAATAAACAAACTGTGGGACATTCATACAATACAATACTACACAGCAATGTAAAGGAACTAACTACTGATATATACAAACACATGGATGAATCTCAAATGTTATACAAAGTGAAAGAAACCAGACTTAATGGCTGATATTGTATGATTCCATCTATGTAATGTTCTAGAAAAAGCACAACTATAGAAACAGAAACCAGACCAGTGTTTGCAAGGGCCTGGGAACACAGGGTAAGAGAAGTAACCACAAAGGGGCACAGAAGAACTTTGTGGGGTGATATAAATGTTCTTTATCTTGATTAGTGTATTGATTACCTGACTGTAGGCATTTGTCAAAATTCATACAACTGTACACACAAGATGTTATTTTCAGTGTATGTTTATTACAGTTTAATAAATGTAACCAAAATCTGCATAAAAATCTCAGTCATTTCATAATCAGATGGGAGAAAAGTATGGGATGGTTAATCACAATTTTTAAAAAAACTTTTCAAAGTGCCTTTGAGGGTTTGTTGTTTACTCCTTGCTAGTTTTCAGAGATAGCACTACAGAGATAAAAGGTTTCCTTTTGTTCTTCATCTAGAAATTAAAAAGTTTAATCAATGTGATTTTTTTGGTACAATTTTTTACCATCTACTTTGGTACTAGAGATCTTCTTGCAAAATTCCCATACAGAATCTAAAACCCATCTTTCCCATAATGAAAGCTATGATTGAAGAGAAGGTTCGCGTGGGTATAATTAATGTGGCTATATTAACAGTGGTCTGATCAGTTAGCAAGATGGTAATAAGGACCATTTATTTGCTTGAATAACGGATGGAGATAACATATAACCTACAATTCTTTTTCCATGAAAAGAAATTTTTGAAGATTTTAAAAAGAATAATTAGTGACTAATTTTGTCTTTAAGTTTCCTTGATGAAAAGTGTAAGCTCCGTGAAAATAGGAACTTTGTTTGTGGCACGATTCTCAACATCTGTCTGTAATAGTGTGCCTGGCTCTTGAGAAGTATGTTAAATGAGCAACCACATATAGACCTACCATTAGCTCAATATCACTGCCAATTATATAAAGTTGATCTTCCATGGAAAGCTTTCTGTTCAAATGGGCGAGAACGTATGTGATTCCTGGTAAACGCACAGCAGGACTGGTGAGAAGACTCCCCCAGAGGGCACTGTAGAACGCAGACTGGTCCACTGCAGCAGCAACCTTCTCCAGCAAAGTGTTTGTTCTGAGGTACAAAACAGAGTGGCTTAAGAAGAGAAGCATTTAGGGGGCACCTGGGTGGCTCAGCTGGTTAAGCATCGAACTCTTGACTTCGGCTCAGGTCATGATCTCATGGTTTGTGAGATCCAGTCCCATGCCGGGCTTTGCGCTGATAGTGCAGAGCTGCTTGGCATTCTTTCTCTCCCTCTCTCTCTCTCTGCTCCTCCCCAACTTGTGTTCTCTCCCTTTCTCCCAGAAATAAACATTAAAAAAAAGAGAGAAGCATTTAGTTCCACAATGTTAAAAATAAATTCTTCTTTTCTGGAATGTATGAAAGCATTCACAGTATAGTTTACATGCTGTGCCCTGGAGACAAATGTGATAGACTGGGAGAAGCACATACTTTAGAGGACTGGATTTAAGTCCTGGCTCCCCCATTTACTAGCTGTAAGTTGGAGAAATCAGTTAATCATTCCTCAGTTTCCTGATCTGTAAAATGAAGACAATGACAACAAAAAGAACACCCCAAGTCCTATCTACATTAGTGGGTTGTTAAACACCATATCCATTCATATTTATTTTTAATTTTTATTTATGTTTGATTTTTATTTATTTTTAATTTAATTTTATTTCATTTTATCTTATTTGAGAGAGAGAAAGAGAGAATCTTAAGCAGGCTCCATGCTTAGTACAGAGCCTGACATGGTGCTCAATCCCATGACCCTGGGTGGGATCATGACCTGAGCCGAAATCAAGGGTCAGATGCTCAGACTGAGCCACGCAGGCATCCCAGACCACCATATACATTTTAGTTAACAGTAATCCTGTAGCAGAAAATATTTTCTCTTGGATTTCTATGAAATTCTTAAAGGACACTTTCCAAATGTTTCCTTTTCTTTGAAATCATATTATGCAACTCATAATAACTTTAAGAGTGTCTTGGGGATTCTAGCAGGGGAATGTAGCTACTCATATATCCTTGACCAAAGAACAGTACTCCTCTATCCGGGAAGGTCATCCCTTTCAACTAAGCACACAGCTTTGGGAGGGGCACACATGGAGTGGTGAGGGAAGAGGGAGACACCTGCTTAGCGAGCCAGGTCAGCTAAATCAACCCTGGCGATCAAATCAATGGGGTGACAGATATCACAGCCAAATCGCCCTCACATCTTATAATTTACAAAACTTTAATGAATTATACCTATAACAAAATCAAAGATATATTATTGCTTTATTAAGGACTGCATTCAAAAATTACTTATGATTAGTTTCAAATATAGAATAATGTAATACATAAAAACTTATTACACTGTAGTAGAGTCAGAATCAAAAGAATCTGATGATGCGTTCTACTGTTTACTTGCTCTGTGACTTACCTAACACTGTACTCCTTTCTGGCCTTAATATATCTATAGATTAAAAGAACACATTTATCAATCCCTTTATTATACTTTGTGTTGAAAAGCTACTAAAACATAATGCTATGGTCTGAATGTCTCCTCAAAAGGTCATATTAAAACCCTATCCTCCCAAAATGATGGCATCAGGAGAAGTGGAGCCTTCGGGAGATGCCTAAGTCATGAGTTCTTATGAAAGAAATCCCACAGAACTCTGTAGCCCCTTCCACTATGTGAGGACACCAGCTACGAACCAGGGAGAGGGCCTCTCCAGAATATGACCATGCCGGTACTCAGATAATGACTTCTAGTCTTTAGAACTCGGACAAATAAATTTGCTGTTCATTAGCTACCCAATCTGTGGAATTTTGTTACAGCAGCTCAAACTGACTAAAACACATTAACAAGACAAAACACAGACTATAGTCCTAAAAATCATTATTCACTGTTATATTTTTAATTGCAACTAGCAAACTTAAGTGCTTCCCTTAGAATACAATTTAAAATTTAAAATAAAATGGACTTATACACTAAATGAAATAAAACATATGTTTCTAAAACTGTAAGCAAGTAAGTAAAGTTAACAAAAGAAAATGATAAATTTTGAGGACCAAAATTATATTTTCTCAAAGTAGCTCAGGAGCGTCATCTAGTATTTTCAGGGTTAGAGTCTGACTATATTACAGAAACATATAAACCACCATAAAATAGAGTAACTGGTGAGTGCGCTAGAATAAATTAAATTTAAGTCATTAAGTGTACTCATAAAATTAAGTTTGGCCTTTTTTATGTTTGCTACCTCAACTCATAATTTCCTTTTTGGTGAGAACATCAGTAACAAGCTATTAAAGATAGTTAACACCATCATGTGCTGTCTACAACTATAAACTTCCTAAGAAATAATAGGCTCCAAGATGCATTAATTCATTTTCTTTGAAAAATTAAAATATCAAGAGCATCATGTCAACAGCCAGTAAAACATCACTGTACTTGGTGTTAGGCTCTTTTCCATCACTAAGAATTTAAAAACTGTTGGCACATGGTTCTATTTCCCATTCTTTTATTAATTTAAATTCTTATATACTGTATTATTTTAAATTATGGGTCACAATTTTTTGAGCGACTTACATGTGCTAGGAACTGGATTGATTTCATTATTATAATAACAGAATGAAATAAGTGTTATGTGTGCTTTATAGATGAGGAAACATAAAAAACTTCAGACCATGTTAAAAAAACTTTCTTTTTAGCTAGGATTTGAACCCAGTCATCTATCTCCCAAGTCTGTGCTCTTAGCTATATTTTCAGTGCAATACACAAACTAGATATATTACAATAATTATTTTTTGCTACAGAAATCTTCACGTGATATATTCAAGGGTCTAGAATAATTAATTTTTGTGATGTTAAAACATTATCGATCCAAGGATACTTGGTGACAAATCCAGGCCTTTGATCACTTAGTGGCAACAACAGTAGCACCATTTCACCTCTCGTAGTACTCCGATCCTTCTTCTAAGCCAGGCAGAATACCAGTTAGCAATCCTTGTAGACCAGGCTTCAGTGTTTTACCCAAAGGCAGGTAATATATCTCATACAAACTTAGCAATGTTGGTTTCACAGACATGGCAGCATTTGCAAGAAGAGGAAATAATCCAGAACTGTTTAAAAACATAGAAATAAATGGGGGTAAGGAGAAGCACATTAACTACAAAATATTAATTCATATGCACATATGATGAGGGAGAGTGGGGCAAGCTGAGGGCAAAATACAGGCTGGCAGACCCTTTCCCCCAGGTAGAATATGTGTGATATTCCTTGAACACTCCTGGCTACCCAAGAACAAAGGAAAGGGTGCTTGCCATGGTGATGTGGGAAACTAAGGCTAATGAAACATTAAATCCCCTTATTGCCTACAGCCCATTGACAAATCCATGAAACAGGCAGTGTGACTTCTCTCTAGGAGCTCAGTTTTGCTTTGCTAGGGGCAAAAGAGAATCTTAGCTTAACATTAACCCAACCTTGAGGATCCTGTAAGCCTACTTTAACATATAAAAATCCCTCAGGAGCACCTGGGTGGCTCAGTTGGTTAAGTGTCCCACTTTGGCTCAGGTCATGATCTCATGGTTCATGAGTTCGGGCCCCACGTCGGGCTCTGTGCTGACAGCTCAGAGCCTGGAGCCTGCTTTGGATTCTGTGTCTCCCTCTCTTTCTGTTCCTCCCCTGCTCACTCTGTCTCTCTCTCTCTCTCTCAAAAAGAAATAAACATCAAAAAATTTAAAAAAAAATTCCTTTGGAAACTTCCTTTATCTCAACTGCCCCAAGATATGTGCTCGCAATCATACTCCAAGCTTATGGCCTCCTGATATCCATCTGAAGGGTCTCATGACTGACATTTTATTAAATGGTAATAAATGGCATTTCCCTAGCAAAAGCTAGCCCCTCAAGGTCCTGGAGACCTTGCATCCAAAATACCTTCGAGACTTACGCTATCCCTGACCTCCTCCCAACCTGAAGGTATATAATCAGTTACCCATCATGACCCCAGTGCAGCTCTTCCTGCACATGGGTCCCGTCCCCATGCTTTAATAAAATCGTCTTTTTGCACCAAAGATGTCTTTAAGAATTCTTTCTTGGCTGTCGGCTCTGGACCACGCCACCATCACCCCAAAGTTTCATCACCTACATATGTATATAAACCTTAATTTATATTTTGATGAAATAATAAGTTATACCGATTGGCTCAAAATGATATCCTGCATATTGATGACTTCTACTTCCATTAAACCCAGATTTCTCACCTAAGTTTCAGACTCAAAAGCCAGTGGCTAGCTAGCTAGCTATTTCACAGTCTTCAAATGTCACAATTTTAAAATATGGCATCACCATCTGTCTGGGTGACCAAAAAGCTATAAATTTAAAAGTGATCCTTTACCCTTTAAAAAAAAAAAAAATCTTCTCTAACTTATAATCAATCACCAAGTTTTCTCTCCAAGTCACTCTTCTAGATATTTTTTAAATACTGTAAATTATCTCCATCTCTACCACACTTTTTCTTAGAAGACACCATCATTATATACAGCTCAGTCATCATGACTTACCAAGTACTGCTTCAGTACTGCCCTGAAGCAGCTGTCCTCAGTAAAACTTTTCATTGGCTTCCTGTTGCCTTTAGGATACAGTCTAGTTTAACACAGTTTTAACATTTTGCTACTCCATATCTCTGTACAGCTCACATAAACTCACCCATTTTACTCCTGCACCCTCTGCTCCAGCTATACTGAAGAATTCCTTTCAGGTTTGTTTAAAATCCTTCCATGCTCTTTTTAGCATCCAGGCCTTTCCACAAGCTGTTCTGACAGGTTCAATTACTGCTCCCTTACTTCTATCCTTTTTGTTGACTCCTAGACTTTCAGGAATTAGCCTAAGCCATTCCCTGGAGGAGAATGTCTCTTAATTAGACTAGGTTAGGCTCCCTATTTTATATTCCCATAGTACCCAATACTTATTTATTCTAGTAAGTAATTCTGTTTTTATTAATTCTAATAAGTAATTCCGTAAATATCAGAAAGCAAGGTACCATGACTATCTTTCTGTTTCTGTATCCTAAGTCCCTAGCACCAAGTCCTCTTGTACTTAGTGACTGCTTAACAAATGAATTAAGAATCTCTTGCTCCTAGTTTGTACAGTAAATAGAGGTCATCAAGAGAGAACTCCCTGAGTTTCCCACATTCCTGCCTCCAATTTTAGGCAGTCTGATTTAAATTTATAGTTGAAGCCTCCTCAAAGCTACCTTCCTCCATAAACTGCAGCACCCAATGCCGGCCTTTGCCAGAATCCTGCTTCATCCATTTTCCTTTTCACACTTCTAACTTCTTTCTCTTTTTTAAAATATTTTATTTTTTAAGTAATCTCTACACCCAACACGGCACTCAAACTGACAACCCAGAGATCAAGAGTTGCATACTATGAGCTAACCAGGTGCCCCCTTTCTGATAACTTCTATCTATCTTCTTCCACTTACATCTTTGCCTTTCAACACAATTGTGGTTATCTGTGAGTCTAAAAAGAGAATAAATTACAACAACAAAATCCCAAATCCTTTATCTTCACTGAATTCTGGCTTGAACCATTTCAATTAAAAAAAAAAAAAAGTATGCATTTTCCCCTATTTATCACCTGTCATCTGATCTTCGATCAGGATACTTCTACCCCCTCTAATGAAACTATTCTCATTATCATCAGCAACGTCTATTAACTGCCAGATCCTATGCTCTATTTTCAGCCCTTTTACTATTTGCTTTGCCTGTAATATTTGATACTGTCACCCACAACTTTCTGTTGAAACTCTCTTCCCTTTTGGCTTCCACGTTAGCTATTTCCTGCTACATTTTCTATCTCTGACTCTTGTTCCCCTTCACTGACTAAATATTCACAGAATGGTCCTCCTTTTCCTTCCTTCTTATTTACAATGTACCTGGGTGATCTCAATTATTCTCATGGCTTCAACTGCCACCTAAATGATCACCGCTCTAAAATCTCTCTCCAGCCTGAGGTCCAAATTTGTTTTACCAAAATTTTACATACTTTACTTTACATACACATTTAAGACTTTGTGGTACTCAAACTGCACATCTAGCCTTCTTAGTAACACGACCATATACAGTATCATGTTTAAAAAAATAAGCCCAAAGAGGCAAGATGATTTTTTATCAAAATATAGTTTATACAAGTTTACAAAGTCTTTGTATGTAATTATGCTAAACCATAAACCTTGAGATTAAAGAAATTACTTAATGAAAAATAAAAAGTCCAACATTAATATAAACTTTAGTTTTTAAATTAGGTATGCTTTTAACAACTATAGAATAGCAATATAATTTTACTCCATAATGTGTATGTGAGAATGTCTGCCATATTTAGAAATGGTTTTCTAGAAGTGGTATTCTAGAGATAATTTACTATTTTTACATAACATACCAGTGACAAAATCAGATATACTGTAATTTATTTTTTATTTTTTTTAATGTTTATTTTTGAGAGAGAGAGAGAGAGAGGGAGAGAGAGAGATACCAGAGCATAAACAGGGAAGAGGCAGAGAGAGAGGGAGACACAGATTTGTAGCAGGCTCCAGGCTCTCAGCTGTCAGCACAGACTCTGACTCAGGGCTCGAACCCACTGTCTGTGAGATAATGACCTGAGCTGAAGTCAGACACTCAACCGACTGAGTCACCCAGATCCTCCAGATATACTGCAATTTTGTAAAATAGCTATGTTTCTTAAGGTAAAATTTGTGTTATTTTAAAGTTGAAAAAGTAGCAGGCATGAATTATAAAAGAAAAATATTGCATTAAGGAAGGAAAATCCAGGGGCGCCTGGGTGGCTCAGTTGGTTAAGCATCCGACTTCAGCTCAGGTCATGATCTCACAGTCCGTGAGTTCGAGCCCTGCGTCGGGCTCTGTGCAACAGCTTGGAGCCTGGAGCCTGCTTCAGATTCTGTGTCTCCCTCTCTCTCTGCCCCTCCCCTGCTCATGCTCTGTCTCTCTCTGTCTCAAAAATAAATAAAAACATTTAAAAAAATTAAAAATTTAAAAATTTTAAAAAAAAAGAAAAGAAAGGAAAATCTATCAGTTAATAGAGAATTACACACATTGATTCAGCAATTCTCAGCTTTTCTTTTTAAGCGCTTTCTCTTTGGAATGTAGTATTTATTACTATTAAAAACCTGTTACTGACTTTAGATGGTATTTTTAAGACATCCATGCAGAATTTAAAGATAAAACATATATGCACAGTAAAGCAAATCAGCAAAGCTAAAAGTTTGCATTAAAAAAAAAACTAAAGTGATAAACCCATGACAAGACTGACCAAAGTAAAAAAAAAAAAAAAAAAAAAAAAAAAAGAAACGAGGTCTGAGTTACCAATGTCAACACTGAAAGAGGAAAACCAGATATATACATGCAAAAGAATGAAACTAGATCCCTATCCTATGCCACACACAAAAGTTAACTTGAATTAGGGACTTAAATATAAGGCCAGAAACTATAAAATTCTTAGAAGGAAACATAGGGGGAAAGCTCCTTGATATTGGTCTTAGAAATGATATTTTGGATATGAAACCTAAAGCACAAGCAAAAAAAGCAAAAATAAACAACGAGGACTACATCAAATGAAAAAGCTACTGCACAGTAAAAGATGATCAATAAAACAAAAAGTCAATCCATCGAATGAGAAAATATTTGTAAACCACATATCTAATAAAGAATTAACATCCAAAATTAATATAAGGGACTCACATAACTGGATAGCAAAAACACCTCCAATAATCAAATTAAAAAATGGGCAAAGGACCCGAACATTTTTCTAAAGAAGATACTGGAATGCCCAATAGGCACATGAAAATGTGCTCAAGATCATTAATCATCAGGGAAAAAGAAGTCAAAACCACAATGGGGTACCATCTTACAACTGTTAGACTATTATCAAAAGACAAGAAATAACAAATGCTGGAGAAGAAGTGGAGAAAATAGAATCACTGTACACTGTGGGGAGGGAATGTAAACTGGTACAGCAATTATGGACAATAATATGGAGGTCCTTCAAAAAATTGAAAATAGAACTACAATATGATCGGGAAATCCCACTTTTGGCTATATGTCTGAAGGGAGTGAAATCAGGATCTTGAAGAGATATCTGCATTCCCATGTTCACTGCAGCATTATTTCCAATAGCAAGACATGGAAACTTGTGTCCACTGACAGATGAATGGATAAAGTGTCACACATGATTATGCACGTGCACACGCTCATGTACACACACGCGCACATTCTCTCTCTCTCTCTCTCTGGAGTATAATTAATCATGGAAAAAAACAAATCCTGCCATTTGTGACAATATGGATGGATCTCTAGGGCATTATGCTAAGTGAAATAAGTCATACAGAGAAAGACAAATGCTGTATGGTCTCACTTAAATGTGGAATCTAAGAAAATCAAACTCATAAAAACAGAGAAGAGAATGGTGGTTGCCTAGCAGGTGAGGGGAGGAGAAATGAGTGAAGGTGGTCAAAGGTACAAGCTTCTAGTTATAAATAAGTTACAGGGATGTAATGTACAGATTGTGACTAGGGTTAACAATACTGTATTTGAAAGTCGCTAAAAGAGAATAGACCTTAAAAGTTCTCGTCATAAGAAAAAAAATCACAACTGAGGTTATGATGGATGTGTTAACTAAATTTATGGTAATCATTTCACAGTATATACATATATCAAATAATATGTTGTATACCTTAAACTTAGTGTTGTAGTCAATTATATCTCAATAAGGTTAAGAAAAAATTTTACATCTATATGAAAAGAGAGAGAGAGAGAATGAACTAGTGACCTGGAAGCTAGGTAAGAGGAAAGTACCCTGAATGCAGCACAGACAAGATGTTTAAAAACAAGGAAGAGAGGATCAGAAATGGGAAAGTCAGAGTGAGAAGATCTAACACATGCTTACTCATAGTTCCAAAAAGGGGAGACAGAATAGATGGAATCAAGGCAATTTTAAGAGTTTCAGAATTGATAAAAGTCACTGATTCATAGATTTAAAAATCCCAATGAATCCCAACTGGGATAAACACAGATACCTCCCTCTAAATACATCACAGTAAAACCACTGAGTACTAATGATGAAGATGAAGAAAGTCTCTTATAGATAGGATAACTAGTCAAGTCTTCTCTGGGGATCTGGTATTTAAACAGTGATTTGGATTCGAGCACTACAGAGTGAGGGGAAAAAGAAAAAAATGAGGAACAATAAACAAAGAGACCTGTGTTACAGAATGGAGTAAATTGGGTAGAAAGTGGCAGGAGCTGGAGGTAATTGACAGGGGCAGGGCCAAAATATATAAAACTTTAGAAACATAGTAAGGGCTTTGATTTTGACTTTAAGTAACAGGAAGAAGTCAATGGAGGTTTTTAGCAGGGGAATGACATCTATTAAATGTATTAAAAAGTTTACTCTGGTACTGTATGGAGAAAAGGGTATAAAAGGGTAAGAACGAGATATTATGTGAATGTTAGAAGGCCAGTGACAAAGACCAAGCTAGAGATAAAGCTTACTTAGAATAGACGCTGCCAGTGAGGGTGGAAATAAGTAGATGTATTGGAACATCTATCAGAACAACAGGTAACAATTATTGAGTACTTCCTATATGCTGCACATTGTTCTAAACATTTTATATATATTTACATCTTTAATTCTATTAACAATCTTGTGAAACTGGTAATCTTATTCTCATTTTGCAAATGAGAATACACACAGAGAGATGAAGAAAATGATCCAAGATCACAGAGCTGCTTAGTGGTAAAGACAAACTATTTTGATTCCTCTGCTCCTGTGCTTCACCAATGAAACAGATCTCCTAGTGAGAGAATGTACATGGGAAGAAGAATATGGGCAAAGAAAACAAGTTATTAAGTGTAACCCTTGGATTTCAGGCTCATGTAAATGGATGGACAATGGTGCCATTTACTGAACTTTAGTGCACTGCAAAAGGCTGGGTTTATAGAAAATGAATTTAGTTTGGAAGAGGGTGAGCTTCAGCTGCTTTTAAAGAACCACATAGAGATGGCAAGTAATCCAGAAGTTTAAAGCAGAAGCCAACACTGGTGATCCCAAGTTGGGAGTCGGCACTTAAACCATGGGTGTGAATATGCCCACCCAACTAAAGAATATAAAGTGAAAACATAAGACTAAGCAAACTTTAAGAAATTTTGTATGTCCACGGATGCCTAAGTGGCTCAGTCAGGTGTCTGACCTTGATTTTGGCTCAGGTCATGATCTCATGGTTTGTGAATTTGATGATTGATGAGGCAGGGGCCAAATATATAAAACTTTTAGAAACATAGTAAGAGCTTTGATTTTGACTTTAAGTAGGGAAAGAAGTCAATGGAGGTTTTTTTAGCAGGGGAATGACATCTATTAAATGTATTAAAAAGTTTGCTCTGGTACTGTGGAGAAAAGATTTCAAAAGGGTAAGAAGCGAATATTATGTGAATGTTAGAAGGCCAGTGACAAAGACCAAGCTAGAGATAAAACATAGAATGAGCGCTGCCAGTGAGGTGGAAATGAAGTAGATGCTTGACAGACATCTATCAGAACAATAGGTAACAATTATTGAGTACTTCCTATATACTTGTTCCACAAACATTTATATATCTATTTACATCTTTAATTCTATTAACAATCTTGTGAAACTGATGCCATTCTCATTTGCAAAATGAGAATACACACAGAGAGATGAAAGTCAAGAATCTAGAGCTGCTTGGTGGTAAGACAAACTATTTTGATTCCTCTGCTCCTGTGGCTTCACCAATGAAACAGATCTCTAGTGAGGAAGAGAATGTACATGGGAGGAAAATATGGGCAAAGAAAACAAGTTATTAGTGCAACCCTTGGATTTCAGGCTCATGTAAATGGATGGACAATGGTGCCCATTTACTGAACACAATTACACTGCAAAAAGGCTGGGTTGAAAATGAATTTAGTTTGGAAGAGGTGAGCTTCAGCTGCTTTTAAAGAACCATAGAGATGGCAAGTAATCCAAGTTTTAAGCAGGAAATAACACTAGGTGATCCCAAGTTGGGAGTCAGCATAAACCATGGAGTGTGAATATTTACCCACCCAACTGAAATATAAAAGTGAAAACATAAGACTAGCAAACTTTAAGAAATTTTGTATGTCCACGGATGCTAAGTGGCTCAGTCCCAGATGAAGCCCTTGATTTTGGCTCAGGTCATGATCTCATAGTTTGTGAATTTAGCCTTGCATGGGGCTCTGTGCTATCACAGCACAAATTCTGCTTAAGTTCCTCTCTCTCCTATCTCTACCCTCCCCCACTATATAGCTCTCACTCTCAAGTAAATAAAAACTTAAAAAAAAAATTCCATATGTTCATATCAAGATTGAGAAAGCAAACTGGAGAATGTAAACCAATAGAAAAAGGCTATTCCAGGTAAAGAATGGTCAACTACATTGAAAGCTGCTGAGAGATAAAAGTATCTTATTTTTTTCTCAGGGTAGTCTAAGTTAAGAAGAGCAGAAAGGGGGCGCCTGGGTGGCGCAGTTGGTTAAGCGTCCGACTTCAGCCAGGTCCGCGATCTCGCTCCGTGAGTTCCGAGGCCCAGCGTCAGGCTCTGGGCTGATGGCTGCCAGGGCCTGGAGCCTGGGCTTCCGATTCTGTCCCTCTCTCTGCCTCCCCGTTCATGCTCATCTCTCTCTGTCCCAAAAATAAAAATTAAAAACGTTGAAAAAAAAAAAAATTTAAAAAAAATA